TTTTTTTTTTTAATTTTTTATTTTCAATCTTATGAGTGCAAGTTGAATATATGATCTCTTCATGTGCATTTACCTTGCTTAGAAGAATGTTATATTTTATAGAGATCAGGCCTAATTTTTTTCTTTGGTATTTTCACTCCTGTTATTTCCTCGGCGTAATTTGATATTACGTGTTAACTCTCTTAGTTTTGGATAATAATTTGACATATTATGAATTCAAAATGTAAAAATTAAATTCAATTTGCCTTTTTGACTTTATATGGTTCTAATTTTTGTCTAAATTTCTTAAATTATTTCAATCATTTCAAAATTAGTTGGGTTTGAATTCAAAATTGTTTGTTTACATTTAAAGAAAGTAAGTGGTTAAATTAATTGGTGTCTTGTAATCTGTTAATCTTCAATTTTTTTTCTGCGTAAATTCATATTTTTTATATAATACTAGTTGTATTTGGAAACTTTAACTATGGCTGACTCAGCATCAGAAATACCAAAAGGTAATGGGAATTAATCATGAAGGTCCCCCTTAACCAACATTATTCTAGGTTATATGACCCAACCAACAAATAATTAGAAATTAATGAAAGAATTATTACTTCTGTACTTACTATTCAGAGTCAACTTCAGCTGCCAAAGTAATAATAATAACCAACAAGAAGCCTAGTACAGGAATTCATTACAAGATAGAAACTGCAGCCTATATTTACATAAGAGAAAGTAGACTTATCTTGTTTTCTTTGTCATAGGTCCTCTTACTCAAAGCTTCTTTTCTTTCAGCTGCATTAATGAAGACTTGTGCAGTTAGAAAACTGGCAAATAGAAAACGATGTGTTTGAATAGGAGAATTAACTAACCTTTCTTATCCTTTGAAGAAGAATTAAGATTCAAAGTATCCCTCATCATTTTATCTCCCACATCTTTAGAACTCTGAAAATTAAATGACAGTAAGATTCAGAATTATATATAGTTAAGAGTTCCACAGCTTACACATAGTAAGTTCTTCGCTATCCCTTGTTGTGAAATTCTTCCCTGTGGGTAAATTTAATTTTAATAAGAGTAGGTTCACAAGTCGTACTCAAAACATCTACATGATCATTACCAAAAAAAAAAAAAAA